GACGGACAGCAAGACGGACATTGCACAAAACCAATATACTCATTTCACTTTCGTGAATGAGTCTAAAAAAAAGTACGTTTATGTTTTTTTTGCAATATTTTTACTGTATAATTTAATAAACATTCTCAAAAAGATTCAGCAAGACAATAACCCAAAACATTCGTCTTATCTTGTGCAGGAGTGGCTCATATACCATTGCAAGCAGTTCAAAACACCGCCCCAATCACCGGATTTGAATCCCATTGAGCATGTGTGGCACCTATTAGAAAAAAAAGATCCGATATCATCAAATACCTCAAAGGATTCTCTAAAAGAGGCGCTACGCGCTACTTATGAAACGTCAAGGCTAATAATTAGCACGAAGAGACGTATGCAGGCGGATATTCAGTCTAGGAGGACCCACAAAGTATTGGGGTGATTGACTACCGATGGAAATGACTGATTACGCCTTTTGTGTCAATACTTTTTTGACGAAAATTTGTGCCTAAATTTATATTTTAGTTCTGCGCAGGTGAACCAAACGATAGATTTAATTATTTTTTTTTGTTAGATATTATTAGAAAACATGGTTTTAACAAATACCAGTTTTCGTTTATTTATAGCTGTGTTCAAAAAAAAAGTTACAGCTCTAAGAAGTTTGATTTTTCAAGTGTGCCAATAGCTTTTGGTTCACTGTATGTATGTATTTGCTCTCAATTACACTTGAACTGTCAATAATCAAAAGTAATGATGGAAATTCGTATACTCGTATAGTTAGAAAATTTGTTAATATTTAGTCTTAAACTTGGATATAAGTAATGAACCTTTCTTTTCAAATAGTTTTTATTTAGTGGATGGATCCCGTTGCTTTTCTTCATGAAAACATTACGGCTGAGACTAAAATTTGAATGCTCGCAATGTTTCTCTCTTTGCGGATAGCTTTCATCGCTTTGCAGATCGCTGCGATCATTATAGCTTATAACATCGCATCGCTTATCGCGGTCACTCTGACATCAACATCAGAAAATTATTAATCATCTAATTTAAGGTGTTCCAAATCAGTACCACAAAACCCACATCCGACATCATCATTGATTTTTGTTATTACACAAATCCATAAAAATTCCATAAAAATTTGAAGTCTCTAACTTTTTTTTTTAAATGTCCGTATTTACAGCGCGGATATCGAGATTATCACTAAAAATCGATAACTCATCCAGATCTTTTTTTATCGATAAAAAACTTGATCGAAAACCAGTAATAAAATTATATCTTCTACACCTTCATTGCTAGAGTCTCGAAATTTTTAATGTATGTTTATATGCAATTAATGCAATTTCGGTTTTTGTTAAAATTTACCCCCCACCCTCAAATTCACCCCCCCACCCTCACTTTTGTAAAAAGCGTATTTCAAATACTAGAGACTTGCTCTTTGGCAAACACATGCATATCCATGTTATAATCATAATCTGAAAGTTTCATGAAGAAACTACATCCACAACAAAAGTTATTGAACAATTAAGTTCCCATAGTAAGCCACCACTGCAGCCAATGCGTGTTTATGCGTGCGTGCGTATCTCTGTGTGTAAGCGTGTGTGTGTATGATGTGTGTGTATATGACTGTGTGTGTATGCGTGTGTGTGTGTGTGTGTGTGTGCCTTGTGTAAGCAGAAAGACGCGAAAAATGACTGAAACAGCTATTGCTCGAAAGGTTCAGGGGATCTCGTAGTCGGGCACTCTCGACTAGAGCTTTCTTACTTGTTTATAAAATACCAGTGTTTAAAAAACTGCGAACAGTTTTCGCAGTTCTGTTATTGCTAGAACTGTTGCCGCGAGCATTTTCGACAGTCGCAGTCGCAGCAAAAGTAAAAACATTTCTTGATCCGCAGCGCAGCGCTTCGGGAATCGACAGCTTCGGCAGTTTTGAGAATGCAAGAACTGTTGATGCGTGAACTGGCGACAGTCGCAGTTGCAGCAAAAGCAAAAAACAATTCGAACTGCGTTCACTGGCGACAGTCGCAGTCGCAGCTAGAGCAAAAACTGTCGACTGCCGAACAGCACAGCAGACAGCTTCCACAGTTTTTGCTTTGCTTTGTGCGTCATGAACGAAATAAATGAAAATTAACATTTTAATTATTTATTTATAATGGCGATTATTTATGTTTTTATTCGTCATCTCCATGGAAGAGCGGCAGGTTGTCAATATTAACAGAATTTAACACATTGAACGGTATGGAGTCCTCCGTAACGGGCCCAATGTATGACCTTATTAGTTGCTTTTTGTTCATTTCAATTTAATTTTTTTTTTTTTTCGTATAATTTTAGACGACGAACAAATAGAAGGGTTTTCCGACAGTTCGGAAGTAGGAGTCGTTTTCAAATGATGTACATTGACAACATGAGCTTTTAAATTAGAAATTCTATTGGTTTTAAGTTTGCTTTTGCATGTTTTNCCGTAGACTGACTGACTACATTTGTTTATTTACTTCTATACTATTATATAATATGAGAGCAGGACCGAAAACTGTCACTGTTATCAAGCCTACTGAGTATCAATGGAAATTTGAATCTTTAGGGAAAAAACCGCGTTTTCAAGTATAATATATTTTATATAATTTGGAACAATAGGTCTAATAAATTTTATATAATTTGGAACTATAGGTCTAAACTCTCTCTAGTTCGAATATAAGCTGAACTAAATCTGTTTAACTGGTTAGGTTTTCCCCTTGAATGTCTGACTGGACTCTCCAGCCTCCTTAGATTGTCGAAAGTCTTAACTTATATCATATTTTTTTTTTTTTTTTTTTTTTCGTAAATATGTTTGAATATATGGTTTTAATAAACACAGTTATTACTTTATTTATAGCTGTGTTCAAATAAGGTCCAGGACTTAAAAGTTTCATTTTCCATGTGTGCCAATACTTTTTTGGTTCACTGTATATGTTTCATTACAACGAAACAACGAATATCTTTTATTACGCTAGAATTAAAAGAGTGAATGCCGAATTATAAAGATTAGTAATTGAAGTTTCTTTAACACAATTGATTTTAAATTTATATACATATATTCTACTTACTTCGTAAGGAATTGCAATATTATACTATATTAATAAGTTAGCTTCTAGATTAACTTCCACTAACTGTAACCGGGGCTGATATTACGTTTTTCACTGAGATTGATTGCGTTTTGGGAATGAGGGGTACATAAGTCTCCTCATTGTTCACAAGATTATCGTCTATAGTATTATTAAAATACCATTTTTTTTTATTCGCCAAGAACAATAGCATAAGAGCTGGAAGATGAATCAATGAAAATCGAAATAGCCTCCGAGAACTTCCACTATCAGATTTTTGATAAAATTTATAAGCTGCAAATAAACATAACGGTTAATGTAAGGGCTTAAGTCGATAACATTAAGCAAAACAAGTAAAAATGCTCTAGTCGAGGCTGCTCCACTAGAAGATAAGCTGAACCCTTTAAAAAATATTAAATAAATTATCTTGTAGTAGAACTACCTAAATCAAACTCTTAGAGCAATGGGGTGTAATTGCCACCACTTGACATAGGTTTTTTTTTTTTTTTTTTAATTTTGAGGCATGGTAACCGTAATCTGGATATTACAATCAATGTTTCGATTATTATACCCTGAAAATGCGAAATCCGGGGACAATGGTTTGTATGTAACACGCAGAAGGAATCATCACAGACCCCATAAACTATACATATTCTTAATCAGGGCGATGAGCGGAGTCAATACAGCCCTATCCGTCTATCTCAGAAGACGTAAGAGCTAGAGTGCTGAAATTTTGCCTGCATACTCGTGTATTCCCTATGAAGTACGACTTTAACATATTTTTTGATGCAAAATTTTAAGGCCGAACGGACGGTCATAGACGGACGATTCATCTTGTCGCCCTGATCAAGAATATTTATACGTCATGCCACGTCTCCATTTGTCTGTCACATTACCAAAGCCATTATACCCTGATTTCCCATTATCATTTTGTTCAGGATATTAAAGAAACAAGTGTTCCGAATTTCTTCCACTCGAAAAGTCTCGACTACAGCAATTTTACTTGGTTAGTACTCTGGTAATGCTTAGCATTAAATGAGTTACTTACCAAGATAACATAAGTATATGTTTAATGGCAATGATTCCAAAACAAACCAATAATTAGTAATGTTAAAAAATGGAGCTGCCAAACTCATCCCACAAATAACTAAAGAATGCCGCAATGCAGTGCGACGGCATAGAGCTGGATCGATGACAGCCATCATACGATAACCGGCTCGTGAATAATCCGGACGTAGGTTCCATGAAAGAGCATTAAAATGCGGAAACTGCCAAGCGTACAGAACTCCTGCAAGGATCATAGCGCCTGTATCGAGAGTCCCTGTACAACCTGACCATCCCATCAGAGGAGGGATTGCCCCGACGATTGAGCCTACCCATGTATTGGCAATACTAATGCGCTTCATTGGAGTATAGATAGATGTGTAAAGAAAGAGGTTTCCAGCACCCAATGCAGCTGTAAGACTATTAACTCCGAAATATAACAAACATAATCCAGTTGTCGCTGATATTACTGCGAAACCGAGGGCATTAAGTGGGGTTATTTGACCAGTAACAAGTACACGGTTTTTCGTTCTCGACATTTGAGAATCAAATGGAACTTCGTGATATTGATTGACAGCATTCGCCGCTGCTGAAACCAAACCAGTTCCTATTGTGCACATAATAAATGAGGTTGCATCAAAACTAGCAGGAGCCATAGCATAGCCACCCATTGTTGTTATTACCACTAACGCTGTTAAGGAGAGCTGATCATTAATCTTTTTCTACAAGTTTTTGGTCTACTTACACGTGAGACGAAACTTCGAAAGTTTTTTATATTTATTTAATATGCTGCCCGTATTTGGATAAGGACTTGGGACCCAGGACGCTTTAAATTTAGTTTTTTCTTGTTCATTCCATATGCGAGATTGATTTGGCCCGTCAGATAGTGGCACGTCTTTTATCATATGAAGCTTTGAATTGATTGACTTTGTGCTTGCTATGGTTGAAAACTAAAAATATATGAATATACATACATATATACATGCAGATTGCATAACTAATGCATACAAATGTAACTAACCTGAATCAAGTTGATTTTCATTGGTAGTATTTGCATTGATAAGCACTCCAATGTACTTAGTTTCTTAAATGTGCGAAACATTCTATATATGATGTGCTTTATTTACATTAAAATCAATTCCGAACCATTTCAGTAAAATTATTTTCATAAAAAAGATAGAGATGAGTAGTATTTATGACTAGAGTAAAAGTATTTGAAAGTAATGAGAATCTAAAGAAAGGTAATAGCACTCAAATAATATTATTAAATATGGGATTTCCGCAATCCTTTACATAAACTTTAAAGCGGTGTATCCACAGCCGAATTTGTTACACGAACATGTGTATGAAGTAGTGATGCAAAACTATCGATGGAAATATCTATAGTATCGATGGAGTTTCTGTTATAAGATAGATCGATGGAATTTTCTCGATGTCGATAGATCGCTACAGACGCCAAACACTAATCATATGGTTAGTGCGCCAAGCCACATATAAGTTGATACTAGTGCTGCAAAAGAATCGATATTCCGTAATATCGATATTCACGATATTTTCAGAGAAAAAKATCGATAAAAACGATATATCGAACACTTCTTTTAAATGTTAATTTTCTTGCTTAGAATCACTGACCAAACAACACATAGACTAGACATGTAGAGCAACGTTTTTCCACGCCGCAAAATCTGTGTRRCAGGTCCCRRCCAACTTCGTATTCGCTCGGCTTGGTATTGGCTGGCTCGGGTAATGAAAGATAGCACGACGAAATCAGTGCGCTCTAAGCCCGCAAACGAAATGGT